CTAACGACTCTTCTTCATGAACTGACATACGAAATAAAAGTCACCATAACAATGTTATCTCAAGAGATTCGTCGAAACCCTATTTCTCTTCGTATCTAGAAATCATTGCTCAGCAGGGACTCATAGTAGGTCTGACTGAAAGAATAGACTTCCAATAGAAAACATTAATTCCCTCTTGGGAGGCGACCCCAGAAGACGAAATCTGTTGGTCAATTCTCTGAAGTATCCAAGTTAGTTCGTCCAATGAATTTTCACGAAAGTAACGCTGGTTAATTTCAGGGTTCTAGCTATTATATTCACGAGTACTGCATGCCTCAATCTGTAATTATGAGGCGTGAAGGTTAAATTACTTTGAAAAATACAAACTCACAGACTTGACTCTGTAAATTCTCATGAGCACATATTATGGTCAAAGAGTAGGACAGAAAACGTTACACAAGGCATATTGTCAGGGAAGATTAAGCTATTTTAACTGACGAAAGCCAAGGTATGCAGCAGACAAACCTAAGGCCACACCTCATTGCCGTCATCTATGATCTAATCTTATTTTAACCAGCAGAATGCTTCATTAAGTCGAGGCATAGTTCTCTCAAGATGACTTATGCTGCCAAGGTTGAGACACGCCACGTGCTGATCTTTCGTCCAGCAGTCTTATGGACTACGTGGAAATGAATATTGCATAAAAGCTAAACGGCTGCAGTACAAGATTTATCTATCCCCACTTGGTGAGATCGACTAACAAATCCCTTCACTCACTCTCATACAAAATTAAATTTCCTCTGGCAATGTTATCTCAAAAGATTAATCGAAACCCAGTTTCTCTTCGTATTTACTAAATCTAGCCAAAAACAAAGCTCGTAACTCTCACTCTCAGGGCAAACCGCTAGTTGAGATATCTTAACACTGGCGGGATATGAGATAATGCGTTAGCGTCTTGGCCTCAGCGAGTAAGCGTAGGCGCCGATTCTGAAGTGAGGCCAACGACTATTTGTAACCATTAGAGTGAAATGAGAAAACAACACCTAACCCGAGCTTTGCCAAAGAGAAATCTGGCACACCTGCCGAAATGTTTTATGAGATCCCTTAAGATAAAAAACAAGCAAAACCTGACATCAGAATATTTGTACTATTGATTTATCTGTCCAAATAAATGAAGTAAATCACCAATGGCTATATACGAGAGCATAGTGAAAAAGCGGGCAATGCTTTATATGCAAAGTGAAAACTTTTCTCCTGTAGCACGAACGCGAAATAATCACAGCCAATCGCCCCGCAACTAGGATTTCGATAGACTCAAGCCCAAATATACCGTTGCCGTACCACCAAAGGCCATTACCGAATGACCTAATCTGACCTCTGATCACCATAAAAAAGACAAAGAACTAATGTAAATATGCACTAAGACTAGTAATGGGCAAACGAATCAAGAACATTTCAAGGAAGCACTGCATTCGCTCAATTGGATGCTGAGTAGTGTATCCCAAATTAAAACGCTGAAATCTAAAATAAATATATGGCAGATAAAAGACAGGTGATTTTACCACCGGAAGTGAATTAAAAACAAGAACCATAGGGATATGGAAGTTGGTTGCCAAAGAACAAGTGAGCTGCGTGCAACTACATATGCGATATAGGAAGAAAACAAATCGAGGAATGGTAGACAAAATTTCTTAGATAATTGTTAATGTAGGTAGCAAATATCATTGATTTTAATAAGAAGCAAGCTTCATTAGAGTCAAAATAGTAACGAAATCCTGCTGAGGTAAAGTAAAATACAGACTGATGAAGATGAATTTTTTGGCACAATGGAAGGGTTACGGTTGAAAGAGAACAAAAATGCCACCCACATGCAAGATTTGAATTCAACACCAAAACTGTATGTCCGATGTGTTCTTAGTGCACAATTTACTCTGGTAAACTTGAAATGAGATAATTCCGATGAAGAAACGGGCACAACAATGGATCTCTATCCATGAGATACAAATAGAGCCAGCAGCCCTGTATAGGGAGATAAATGGGTGCTAGTTGTAACATAAACCGTCCGAGTCAAAACGAATGAGCCACCTCATAGATCTTCATCCCCATCATCGGGGAGTGGAGCTTGTGAAGCGATCTAGAGAGAAATTTAATAGTTATATAGCTTACGACAATTTCATGTTCATATTGCTCGATGAGACTAGGGTCCATATGGACTTCGGGAGGCTTAACCGCGGGCATTTCAACGAGCTCTAGATTCGGATCACCCACTAGTTTACGTGCCAACCAGAGAAAGGGCTTTTCAAAATTATAGTTCGACTTTGCGGAGATATCGTAATACTGAAAGGATGATGAATAACAGATATACCTGAAGGTTTTTCTTCCTATGAAACGTGATCGACTTGGCTTTAACTTTCCTATCCTTTATATCG